CCCCACCCTTCTTCCTTTTTCATTTCTTTCTCTGTCACCCACCCGAAGGCAGCGATTAGCCTTGGGATTTGAACTATTGAGGAAGGGAGGCGCACGGACCGAGCGGCGATGGGTTGCGCGAGAAGCGCGAAGAGGGCGCCGCCGCTAGCTCGCTCTTGTTTTAGCGGGCTTTAAAAATCTGTTGTCGAAGTGCGTGCAGGAGCACGACTACATAGTTTCCATCCGGACGAGACCAAAGGCATAATTAGGATCGAACTTCACAGGTAAGTTCGTTCAATCTAATAATTAGCAATAAGTAGCTGTAAGTTATTGAAAATTTTAACATTTTGCTTCTCGAAACTTTAAATACGTTTTTCCCGAAACTACTTTTTTGAAATTAATTCGCACAATAATTCAAAAACTATTTAACCAATCACTCCGATGCACACATCTAAATAAAAATATTCACTTCCAGATGAATCAGATGAATAATTCTGACAAAATAATTAAATTAAAAAATTTTTTTTCTTTAAATAAGACAAAAATTTGTTGTAAAATTTGAAACTTCTGTTTTAAAGTCGTGCCATTCTTTTATAATTCAAATTTTCTCTTTATTTTTAGTTTCACCGTGCGCAATTTTATAAAGAGTTAAGAAAAATTTGGTTTTTTTGTTTCAAATGAATACCGCAGACGCCAGAGTACGGGCCATTTGGAACCTTTAGTACCAACATCAGTATAATAGCTAGGCCGGTTCTAAACCAATTTCTAAAATATTTTTGCAAAATTTGCTGTTATTAATTAAATATTTTCGTTAACATCCCCTCCTCCCTACAAATTTTTTTTTTCGATGGACAAGATGACGACCGTGACACATCACCGGAGAAAAATTGTCAGGATGTAGTTAGACTCTAACCTTGGCCCTCGCGGTTACTATCCAATGTTCCAAGCTCCTAGACCACCGTCGCCTGTTGCTAGTAGACGTCTAGTGAAGGTTCTTAGAGTGTGTATGATGACGTCATGAGAGAAAATATCTATCATGCATAGTTCGAGTCAAAGAGGCTCGGCCTACACAATCTAAGGTTTGAACTATGCAGTAGTTGGTATATTTTTCGAAAAAGGATGTGGTCTAAAGTAAAAAAAGATGTATCATAACAAAGTAATTTATTTCTCAGAATAAACATTTTATTTGCTCAGAATAAACATCTCATAGCTTCGTACATGATATTCTTCAAAGCGCATGCCAGCAGCTCGCAATTAATAAGTTACTCACCGTCAAAGCCAGCGCTTTCACGTATCGCTTTTACCGCATAACACATTTCGGTAATATTTTTTTCTCGAAGAACTTTTACAAAAGTTTTGAAAGAAATTTTGATCTAGCGAGATACGACTGTTCAGACAACTGCGTATATACAGGATGTTCCGTAAGTCGAGGTCAATCGCTCGAGAGATGAATGGGGAACCACAAACAAGAAAGAAAGTTGATACAAACATAGGTCCAAAAATGCGTTGTTTTCGAGTTATCGCCATTGTTATGTTAAAATTTGAAATTGCTTTACCTTCGAATTTTTTTGGTTTCGGAATTTCGATGATTTTTATGAGTTTCAAAACACAACTAAAGTCAAACAAAAGTTGCGGGCTGCTTTAGCACTACACAGGATGCACCGCGTGGAGGTACAGCCCGCTTAGCATCCCTTGGCAGAGATCAGGACCCCACAGTTCGTCACTCCTGTGGTAAATACCACAGTGTTATTGTACAAGCTTTGTTTTCGAACACCTCATATAATTTTTACGTTCACACACACACACACACACACACACACACACACACGACAGAGAGGGTTTGGAGTCACTAAATACCACAGGAGTGACGAACTGTGGGGTCCTGATCTCTGCCAAGGGATGCTAAGCGGGCTGTACCTCCACGCGGTGCATCCTGGGTAGTGCTAAAATAGCCCGCAACTTTTATTTGACTTCAGTTGTGTTTTGAAACTCATAAAAGCCATCGAAATTCAAAAACCAAAAAAATTCGAAGGTAAAGCAATTTCAAATTTTAACATAACAATGGCGATAACTCGAAAACAACGCATTTTTGGACCTATGTTTGTATCAACTTTCTTTCTTGTTTGTGGTTCCCCATTCATCTCTCGAGCGATTGACCTCGACTTACGGAACACCCTGTATATATGATCAATGCAATATTCATAAGTAAATAACATGGTAGCAGGACTCAAATATAAACGCTTAGAAGATAGCGTTAATTTTACAATTTTTGAACCATTTAGTTCGTACAATTCTACTCTTAAATCTCAAATCCGTAGCGGAAAGTACGATGGTTTGCTCGCTTCCAGAAGTCGTTGTACAGCACCACAATTTTTCATCAGTTTTCCCCAAGTGTCTGCACGTAATATTAGTTCATTACCGCGATTGTCATCGAGGACTATTTCCACGATGGGCACAGATTGTACATTGAGTCCAATCTCCAAATACTTATGAGACGTTGTAGTCAAAGCGTATCTGCGCCCCAGGAGACGAGTAATATGACATGACTCAGGAATATGCTATAAAAATACAATAAATGTTATATACATTTAAAAATTCGACCGGGAAAGTGCACACAAAGTACCAACCAAATTTACATTGATACTCACTTCTTACGTTTCATTTTGTATGGTGGCTCCTCGAAACACTCGTCGCACTTTTGTTTCTACTTCAGGTGATCCTCATCCTCACCTTCATGTTGAACAGGCATGTAATAATTTACTTGTGTAGCGTTCACTTCGACATCGGAAATTTTGGTTTACTATATGTGGAAGCTACTGTCGAACCTTGTCTTTAGCGACTGATGCAACACTATGCAGGAGCTCCTTTAACACAGGCAAGTTTTCCCCGCCAATGCTATATCCCCTCCATCGTTTTCTTCAGAGTTATCAACACACAGGCAAATTTCCCTCGCCAATGCTACATCTCCTTCATCGTTTCCTTCAGAGTTCTCAACATTTCTAATGCACATATCAATATATCTTCCAAAACTAGATAATAACTAGATAATTCTCTGGCACAGCGTTGTAGCCAGTCAATTAAACAGTCATACGTCGATGAAATAATATCAATCATAGCGCATCACAGTATGAGAGAAAATAATGTGCAATATAGAAATGCACAATATTTATACTTTATATTACAATTTTTAAACGCTGCAATATAATGGTGCTGCGTATTACAATATCACAATTTTTACCAAAATATTTTTGTCAATCGTCGACGCCAGACTGCTGATACCAAATCGTAGGTCTACAAGCTTATTGTGGTATTAGATAAAGAAAGATATGCACATCATATCATAGTACATCCTGTGAAGAATTTAGTACTATATCATGTAAAGATATGACTATTTTTCAGGTCAGGTTTTTCCGGGAATTATTTCTCGAAGGTTGTTTAAAATGGGGGGACTAGACTATAGAACCGAACGAGCGAAGACGCTACCCACTCCCAGCATCAATCGTTTATTGTGGTCCGTGTTTGAGTAATATCGAAGAAAGTGTTGAGAAGGTGTCGTCGCTGATTCTTCAAATATTAACGAGAAGAGCAGCAAAAGTGAAGCGTATAGATTTAATTGTGTGTATTTCCCAGTCAGATCTTTTTCAATATGGATCGCGAAAACATAGAACATGAAGAAGTAGAAGACGAAGTAGAAGACGAAGAAATAGAAGACGAAGAAGATATAAATCACACTCATAGATGATAGTAATTATGATAGTAACAATAGTGATCAATTAGTGAATGAAAAAGTGAAGAAATTGGAAGTTTCAGAAATTAATACTTTGAGTGACCAAACAAAACTATGCTGTATTTATTTCTCATATAATTCTGGACACAATCTACGGCTTTGCACATCATGTTCTTTTGGTAACGTCCGCGATACAGTGACAGAAATATTTCCAGTGCGAGGACACATCACCGAAAGACACGATGTGATTGATGAGGTATTTTATTCAAACTGTAGAAACCCCGTCTACCAAATAACACCATGCAATCTGTGTCCAATATGTATGCACTAATATGACATATTTAAAACAGAATTCTTATATACGATACAAAAACTTTATCCAATACACTATACAAGATAAAAAGAAGCAGGAAGAATGTAATAACGATGTGTGTGTGTGTGTGTGCGTGCGTGTGCGTGCGTGTGCGCGTGTGTGCGCGTGTGTGCGTGCGTGTGCGTGTGCGTGCGTGCGTGTGTGTGTATGTGTGTGCGGGTGTGTGTGTGTGTGTGTGCGTGCGTGCGTGCGTGCGTGCGTGTGTGTGTGTGTGTGTGTGTGCGCGCGCGCGCATTTGTGGAAGACGGAAGGGCTATAAAAAGTTAAATGCAGAACATTCTATAGTTTAGTCGAAGACGAACAGAGTGCACGGTTATAGTGTGTTGACAACGTTTGCTGGAAGAAATGGCAGAATCATTATCATCATCATCATCATCATTATCATCCGTAGAACGCGAGCTGTGGAATCAGTCCGTTCGATTAGGCTCGCTAGACGAATACCTCGCATTGGAACAAAAGTGCGACGAGTATCTCGAGTCGTTGGAACAGCATAGCCGAGCCAAACAGCCACGACTATCGGTTGGTTCAGCGCACTCGATGGTTGCTCGTATAGCGCAACTCGAGGGTTTAAAATGTACTTTGCTCAGACGTCTCGTATACGTGGGAGCCAGACATTCGGAACTTTTTTGGCGAGAAATCGATACAGCGTTCGATAGTCGAGTATTAACCGGGGCGATTATAAATATAGACTATATTGAACCTTTTCGATTTCTCCAAGATGCGAAGAATATCTTACTCGAGCATGTGCGAGCGTTATGAAGAAACAAAGTAGCGTAAAAGTGAACACTGTGTTCAACGGTGAATTTGTGGCGGGTGATAAACGCGCGAACAAGAGCATCAATACGAGGAACTTTGGACTTCTTCCCACATCCGATTTAGACAATTGGTTCGTGATGTGTGTTATCGAACCCATCTTAGCGTTGGAAGAATTCCAGGAAAGAGATAGCAGATGGGCATACTCTCGTGCATACTCGATCTGACCGTTAACGTTAACAAGTACAAATCGATGTGTGCGGGATGCCGTATCGAATTACCGCGCAAAATAAAAATGAAGCGGACTGTAATCAACGTGCAATCTATGGACAATGCACGTTTCGCGTGGGCGGTGGTTGCAGCGTTATGTCCAGCTGACAAACACGCAAATCGTCAATCTTCGTACCCACACTATACATCGATATTGAATATGCACGACATTGAATTTCCAATGCGCATAAACCAAATTAAAAAGTTTGAACGGTTGAACGATATTTCGATTAACATTCATAGTATGGAGAAAAGATATGACAACGCAGCAAAGAAAGAAGAAAACGTGGTCGTGCCCATACGTCTCACGGAACAGAAAATGGAGAAACATGTCAACCTGCTGCATATCCCAAATCCGCAAGCATGTGACAACACTGGACACTTCGCGTGGATCAAGAATTTGTCCCGACTCGTCAGCTCAAAGCTGAGCAAAAAGGAACACAAAAAACATATTTGCGACCGGTAATTATACGCTAAGAACGCAATGTATAATGAATAATGTGACGTATACCTAAAACAAATCATGTTTTTCCAGATGTTATTTTCCAGATGCATTACTTCAGCTCGAGCGAGAAGTTTGAGAGCCACACAGTCGACTGTCAAAAAATGAATGACTGCACAATCATCTTGCCAAATGATGATAACAAATGGCTTAGCTTCACCAACTACTGCAGGAAGGAGTGGGTCCTGTTTGTAGTTTACGCCGACTTGGAATGCACCCTGGAGAAGACACCGAGAGAAGAACAAACAAGTTCGTATGCGTATCAATGTCATAGCGTATTTAGTATAGTGTATTACGTGCGATGTTCCTGCGACGAATCGTTATCCGCGTATTGATGCTGTCGCGATCCGGATTGCATCTCGTGGTTCGTCAAGGAACTCGAAGAACTGGCACATCGCGTAAAGGGTATTTTGTCCTCAAATATCCTTGTGAAAACTTTGTCGAAAGAACAGTGGGAGACATTTCGGAACGCTTCGCTGTGTCATGTATGCGAGAAATTATTCACAAAGGACGATACACGCGTGCGCGATCATTGTCACCTAACTGAACGGTACAGAGGTCCCGCACATTCCAATTGCAATCTAAATTACCAAGACAATTATTGTATTCCTGTGGTCTTTCACAATTTATCCGGTTATGATTCACACTTCATCATAAAAGATATAGCAACCGCGTTCGAAGGTTCAATCACTGTACTACCGATAACCAAAGAGAAATATATTTCGTTTACAAAGACTATAGAAAACATGACGGATAGTAGGAATAAATGGATAAATTGTATGCAATTGCGGTTCATCGATTCGTACAAATTTCTAAGTACTAGTTTCGATAAATTGGCGTCTTTTCTCGACAAAGACAAATTAAAAATTGTTCAGCCTGAATTTTCAAATTTGTCCGACAAGGATTTTGATTTATTGACGCGAAAGAGTATCTTTCCGTACGAATATCTTGATTGCGTGGACAAGCTGCATGATCAGTGTTTAACACCGCGCAAGTCATTTTACACTTCGTTGACGGGTGACACGGTATCCGAGAGCAATTACGCGCACGCCGCGAACATCTGGCATCGATTCTCTATTCAAACCTTGGGCGAATATAGCAACTTGTATCTGAAGACTGATGTCTTATTACTGGCCGATATTTTTGAAAATTTCCGCAATAGTTGTATCAAAAGTTACGGGTAAGATCCCGCGTATTATTACACTTTGCCTGGTGTTACGTGGGATGCTATGTTGAAGCATACAGGCGTTAATTTCAAATTGCTCACTGATTTCAACATGGTCATATTCATCGAGCGCGGTATTCGCGGCGGTCTCAGTCAATGTTCCAGTAGATACGCAAAGGCCAATAACAAGTACAGTCTTACAATGCAGTCTTACGATCCACTGCAGCCATCATCATACTTGATGTACTTCGATTTAAATAATTTGTATGGTTGGGCAATGTGTCAACTGTTGCCATACGTCGAATTTCGATGGGTTGATGATGTATCGAATTTCGACATATCATCAATCGCGCTACATTCACCCATAGGCTACATTCTGGAGGTCGACTTGGAGTATCCGCAACATCTGCACGACGCGCACACTGACCTGCCGTTTTGTCCGACGCGGAGCAAACCTCCGAACAAAAGGCAGGACAAGCTTCTCGCAACCTTATGCAATAAGTAGCGTTATGTGATTCATTATCGTAACTTGCAGTAGTGCACGCGTCACTGTCTTCGTATTGGAAAGATACACTGCGTACTCAAATTTGCTCAATCCCCATGGCTCCGCAATTATATCAAACTTAACACGCAGTTTAGAACACACGCGACAAACGATTTCGTGAAAAATTTGTACGAATTGATGAACAACGCGGTATTCGGCAAAACCATGGAAAACTTTCGCAATTACGTAGACGTAAAACTGTTAACAAAATAGGACGGACGATACTGTGCTGAGACAATGATCGCGAGACCAAATTTTCATAGCAGAAATGCCTTTTCGGAAAATTTAATCGCCATTGAGCTGCGTAAACTCGAGGTGAAATTCAACAAGCCGATCTATGTGAGTATGTGTATCCTTGACATATCCAAGACCTGCTTGTACGAATTTCATCACGAGTACATGTCTCCCCTGTATCAGAACAGATGTAAAATAACGTACACCGATACTGACAGTTTAATGTACCATATCCAATATGATGATATTTTCGAGCACATGAAACGCGATATTTCTAAATTTGATACGAATGATTATCCCGCTGATAACGCGTATGGTATACCACTTGCCAACAAGAAGGTACCGGGTTTGATGAAAGATGAAAATAACGGAGCGATTATGACGGAATTCGTCGGACTCAGAGCAAAGATGTACGCGCTAAAGGTAGACAGTAAAAAGGATACGAAGAAGGCGAAAAGTGTCAAGACCAACGTCGTAGCGCGAACTATAACGTTTGATGATTATATGCAGTGTCTGAGGGACGAGGTCGAAAAGCGACGCCGTCAGTCATGCATACGATCAAAAATGCACAAAGTCTAGACCGCGTCCGAACTGAACACTGCTCTGAGTCCGTATGATGACAAGCGGTACCAGACTCAACAGACACTTTACTATGAGGACATTACAGGATAATGTTGTAAACTAAAAAAAGCGACCATTGTACATATACATATATACTCAAACGCAAAAAACCCGGTATACTAAAAATTTGGGAAAAAATTACAAAATTTCAAATGATCATAACATGGTAAATAATGAAGATACAAATATGCGCAGAAATGCAAAATAAAGCTTGAAACGTCTTCTTTAAGAATATCTGAATGGCAATTATGCTCGGCCATTTTTTTCAAAATGGCGGATGATAAAGTGAGAGGATGCAAAATTGATAATCAAAGGTCCGTGTTTGCGATGGTGCATCAGGTATCGCAGCGTAATGGGACCAAATGCACATGAAAGTATAGAGTGTTATCTTTAAAATGCTACTTTACCGAGCTCGATGTGATCATTTTTCACTGAGTTGTTCCAAATTTTGCTAAAAATGCGGTTTTCTTGTTAAATTTGCATAATTCAGTGAATAAGTATCGCATCAAGCTCTATAACAAAGTATTTTAGAGAAAACATTCTATACTTTTAGATACTTTTCGTCTCATTGAGCTGCGACACTTACTTTGCTCCATGCGCCGTCGCACGCTCGAACCTTTTTTTAGCAACTTTTCATGTTCTCCTTTTTATCACCCGCCATTTTGAAAAAATATCGTTGCGCACAATTTCGATAGATCTTTCGAAAAGTACGGTTTCAAAGCTTTCAAACCGTTTTTGAAATTTGCTGCTAGGATATTTAGGTGTCGAGATATTCAATTTCGAATTTGCAACAAATGTCGATTCAGCGAGGCTTAAGGGGCTAAGAGGCTCTGCGGTTCGTTTGGCTCTTTCATAATTTCAATAGCCGCGTTCATGTTTCTCTATATAATAATTTACATAACCAGCACAATATATTCAATGATTTGCATTTATTACTTTGAAAACCAGGGAAATGAAAGTAAAATTCAATTTAGGTTCTTAGTTTTGCGTAATCGATATTACGTAATAAAGATGAATTGCGTTTTAAGATACCGCTGTCATTAGCTCAAATTATGGTTGTAAGTCTTCCCAATATAAACCGCATGGAGTTTTACTGGTAGGAAAAGTCCCATTGTATGTAGTGTGTGTGTGTGTGTTTGTATACCACAAGGATAAGGACCCCGTGGTTCGTCAGCTCCACAGTATTTCAAGATTTTACACCCTCCTTGTGGTGTGTGTGTGTGTGTGTGTGTGTGTGTGTGTGTGTGCGTGCGTGGATGCGCGTGTGCGTGTGCGTGTGCGTGTGCGTGTGCGTGCGTGCGTGCGTGTGTGTGTGTGTGTGTGTGTGTGTGTGTGCGTGTGTGGTGTTACAGCAGAGATAAGGACCCCGCAGTTCGTCACTCCTGCAGTAATTAATGACTCCAAACCCTCTCTGCTGTGTGTGTGGTGTGTGTGTACTAATAGTGGGTATGACTGCCTCGTGCGCGTATTACCTCATTCATACGATCAGGCATACTCCTTATTAGTCTTTTAATTTCATCCTGCGTAACTGTATTCCATTCGTTTTCGAGAATTATTCGCAGTTCCCGCAGTGACTGAGGAACAGGTACGTGATTTCGTACTTTCCTGCCGAGGTTGTCCATAAGTGTTCGATTGGATTTAAATCTGGACTATTTGCTGGCCAATCGAGTCGATTTATGCCAACTTCATCGAAGAAATCAAGCACTCTTCTCGCAGTGTGTGGTCGAGCATTGTCTTGCATAAACAAGAAGTTCTCTCCGATGAAGGGTGCGTACGGAACAACATACGGAATGAGTATGTCTTCCACGTATACATCTGCGTTCATATTCTTGTCAAAAAAGTGCAGATCTGTATGAGCATTAGCTGAAATTCCTGCCCAAATCATTACAGAGCCTTCATTGTAGCTATGCCTTTCACTTACCGTACAGTCTGCAAATCGTTCTCCACCGCGACGATAAACTCGTTCTCGTCCATCTGGAGAATAGACACAAAAACGAGATTCATCGCTAAAGAGTACTTTGCTCCAGTCTGCGTAAGTCCAGTCTCTATGCTCAACTGCAAAATTGAGTCGAGCTACGCGATGGTGACATTTAAGCAAAGGTACAGCTGCTGACCTGCGCGAAAGCAAATTTTGTTCCTTTAGTCTTCTCCGAACGGTGTTAACGGATACATTAATGTTGCGGACATCCCTTAAATTGTTTCTAATTTGAACAGATGTTCGATGTCTGTCTCTTAACGAATTTGAAGTAATAAATCGGTCATCATTGTGATTGGTACATCGAGGACGTCCCGAATCAGGCCTTCTATGGAAAGAATTGGTTTGTAAGTACCTGGCATAGGCACGTTGCACAGTTGACACTGACAAATCAAGTGCCTGAGCAACGTACCTTCGACTTCTGCCATCT